AATTACTTGATGAAAAAATTTGTTTCAGCAGAATTTAGAGGACGAGGTAAAATGTTGGTGGACCTGGCTTTAAATTCCGCAGAAACAAATAACGAGCTGTCGAATATAGCTCAGTCAGATGTTGAATCTGACGTGTCTGATGACAGAGATAGAGACTACCTTCCTTCAACATCTTCCTCAAGTGAAGAATTTTGGGACACAGATAATAACGTTAGCGACCAAAATATACATATTATTAGCAATATCCTATTACAACCTGCTTCAACAACGAGCTCATCAGCTATTTCGGAATTAAATTTAAACAACTTATTGACAGATACGGAAGAACATCGTACTACCAATAATTATAACTATTTTAATAATTTAATTCACAGTATTATACAAAGCGCAATAGACAAATCAGAGAGCAAAAAATACACTAAAAAGGGACAGTTAAGAAAACGGAAAAAAATAGAAGAAAGTTTAAGTGAACGACGTTCAATAAAAATGCAAAAGTTAGTCAATAAACACAAAATATATGGAAGCTGTTTGGCTACTTGCAAGAAAAATTGCAGTAATAAAGTTTCAACTCTTCGACGGCAAGATATAAATAGGCAGTTTTGGAATCTTTCCTCCGAGGAACAGAAAGCTTTTTATTCAAGTTCCATTTTAAAGATTCCCAAAAAAAGATGCGCAACTAGAAATTCAGATAGTTCTCGGCGCTCTTTTACATTTATCTACCAGTTAAAAGATGAAGAAGGAATACCTCAAAATATTTGTAAAGTATTTTATCTGACAACTTTAGGACATCATGAAAAAAATGATAAGCCAGTTAGAACAGCTTTAAAGAGTTCCCAATTATCGCTTAAACCTAACACAGATAAACGAGGAGGCAGCTTAAAAAAATTTGACAGAGATTTAATCATTAGTCATATACAGTCCTTTAATCCTACGACATCGCATTATAGACGAGCACATGCTCCGAACCGTTTATACTTGCCTAGCGACATAACTATAAAACTAATGTATGAATCATTTAAAGCAAAGTACAATATTCAATGTTCGTATTATTTATATCGTCAAATCGTTAGTGAGCTTAATATTTCATTTGCAAAGCTTGGAAACGAAGAGTGTTTTACTTGTGAAAAATACGAGATTCATAAAAAAGAAAGCTCACACGTGTTAGATGACGGTCTAGTTTGTCCTGAATGCGAAACATATAAAAATCATCGAGAAAAATTTATAAAGGCCCGAGAGATGTACTACGCTGATTCCAGATCGTCGGGCGATTCTAGAGTTTATACAGCTGATCTGCAGAAGGTATGAATTTTATTTTGAATAATATCTGTTATATTTGACCTTACACAATTTTTTGTAGGTGATTATGCTCCCAAGATGCGATACTTTCAAAGAAATTATATTTACTCCTAGACTGATAGCCTTTAATGAGAGCTTTGTTCCAGTTGGTACTTCTAAAACTTCTACAGTTGCTGTTCTATGGCATGAAGCTATTTCTGGAAGAAAAAAGGCTGATATTGTTAGCACATTTTATGCATTTTTAAACAAAATTAGGGATTCCGAAGAAGTTGTTATTTGGCTGGATAATTGTTCCGGTCAGAACAAAAATTGGTGCTTGTACACATTTTTTGTGTATGCTGTAAGCTCATTAGAATTGAACATTAGGAAAATAACCCTAAGATATTTTGAGTCAGGTCATACATTTATGGCAGCTGACTCATTTCACCATAGAGTCGAGCAATCATTAAATCGAAAAGGTAAAGTTTATGACTTCGTTGATTTTGTAGATGCGGTTAAAACGTCAACACGTAATGTCGAAGTTATCGACATGGCTTTTAATGATTTTTACAACTGGAAAGACGAATCATCTCAATATAAAATAACAAGGTTGGTCCCTCGTCCGTACCTTCAACAAATGGTGGAAGTTCAGTTCATCAGAGGTTTCCATACATTTGGTTATAAAACTAGTTTTGAAGGAGAAATCATAAGTGCCAATTTTTTAAAGGCTAATATCCAAAAAAATGGCATTGCAAAACCACTCTCTATCTCTCAACCACGAGGTATTACCATGGAAAGAAAACAGAATATAATCACTAAAATTGGTCAAATAATGCCCCCAAATCGCATTGCATTTTGGAAAAATATTTTTGTCAGCGAAAATGTGGACACAATTGATGATTAATATAATATAATAACTAGTTCGGAGTAGAAAATTAAGTATTAATAATTAATATTTGTTTGACTGAGTATGATATTTTAGTTAGTCTGTATTATTGTTGTTTACTTTTTTAACTTTTCCTAATTATTAAGAATAACTTACGAAATTAATACATTAATATTGTAACGTTCATTTGTTTAATGCAATAAATATTTTCAAAAAATCATGTAGTTACGTTCTTAATTATATACCTCATGTTAAGTGAAAAAGGCGTATCTGTCAAAATCTGTCAAAAGTGTTGTTTTCCCAAGTTAATACTCTACCAAAATTTGTCACATGATAGTATAGATCTATTTGTTAACTTCTATATGGTACAAGTCACAACTTTTTAAAAAATCACGATTGCCTAATCAAAACCACTAAAACTGATTTTTCTCGCAAACTAGTTTAAAGCAGATACGCCCTTTTGAGTTAACACGGCAGAACTACCAACCGATTAATTTGCTGAGCTGTGTCTATAAACTGTTGGAAAACTTAATTTTAAACTTAAAGTTTTGAAGTTATTAACAGGTATATCTGTTTTTTATAATTATATAATTTATCATATGTAAAAGTACCCAGTGGTAAATTTTTATACATAAATGTTTACATACACGAAAGTTATAACGAGAAATAAAATTTTAAATTTGCGTTTAACACCCTGTATTATTCTTTGGGTCAAGTGGAGACACTTATGGCGAATACTAAAAGAAGTAGGCGTACCACAACATCTAATTACGCTTATAACCGAACTATATGAACACACTACTGGATTAGTTAAAGTACTTGACACACTTTCGAACGAATTTTATCCAGAACGGGGTGTCAGACAAGGTTGTATACTATCTCCACAATTATTCAACATATATGGGGAGTATATTATGCGAAGAGCACTTGAAGGATGGGAAAAGGGCATCTCAATAAATGGTCATAAACTAAACAACCTACGTTTCGCAGATGACACAGCCCTTCTTGCAAATAGTCAAGCAGAGCTGATAGAACTTATACGACTGATCGAAAACGAAAGTCAAATATTTGGTCTGCAATTAAACATATCAAAGACAAAGATCATGATAGTGGATAGACTACACAACAATCATCCACACATAACCACAATTGACCGGTTCGAGGTTGTGAGCTCATACTTATATCTGGGATCATTAATCACAAACATAGGGTCATTACAAGAAGAGATTAAACGTAGATCTGATCTAGCAAAAGTTGCCACAGCAAAAATGACCAAAATATGGAAGGACTGTCAAATTTCAAGAGCGATAAAGATGAGGTTGATCAACTGCTTAATATTCCCAATACTGACCTACGGATGTGAATCTTGGACTCTGAGACAATCGGAGAGAAGAAAGATAGACGCCACTGAAATGTTCTGTTGGAGACGAATGTTACGAATTCCTTGGACCGACCGCAGAACAAATAATTCAATTTTAAGAGAGCTAAAAGTTAGCCAACGACTCTCTAGTAAAGTCCATCTCCAACAATTAAAATATTTTGGGCATGTTATGAGAGCAAACACAGAAAACATGGAAAGACTCATAATACAAGGAAAGGTAGAAGGCCGAAGATCACGAGGAAGATCCCCAACAAGATGGATAGATCAAATTACAGGAATATGCCAAAGACCTATGCATGAATTAAAAGAAATGACCAGAGACAGAGATCTCTGGAGACGGACAATACACGACATCACGTCGACCACTACACTCCCCCTGGGGGGTCAGGATTGAAGAGAGAGATCTTTCTTTTCAATTTGGCTTTAATCGTAATATTTTAAAGTGTAAACTCTACTTTTTCTCTTTTTGTACAATTACTTAGCGACAACCCCGTATATCTGAAAAATCAGGAATAATGAATTATGGAGTCCAAATTGTATGTATATTTTTTAGCCAATAGTATTAGCTAACGCACCTTTTATATCTTTATAATCTATACAAGTATTAAAAAAACAGCATATGTTTTAACCAAGTAAAGTATTACATTTAAGTGCAAATACGGTAATAAAATCTATTAAGCTTTAAAAGAATTCTAGTGGATAGGAGTTTCTTGTTATATGGGGCTTCATATATTCATAATTTGTTGTACATAGTATCTGTTAAGTGCATAATTATTTAATATCTGTCAGCTTTAACGATGAGAAAATCTGTGTTTATTGAATTAATAAATATGTTTTTAAGTAAACTTGTAGTATATATGTTAATAGATGTAACCCGAAACAATAATTTATCCAGCGTTTACAATTTACCTAATGGAAACTGAAAGGTCATCATATGAAAACAAAATTTATGATTACATTTATAATAGGTATTTCAGTTCTTATGATACTACATACGAAAGAAAATATTTACTATTGGGTATTTATGATGAGAGAAAAAAAATATTCCAGCTATTTGGCATGTAAGAGTAAAAATATAATGGCAAATATTTATTTTTATTATATTTGCATATAATTTCTACTATTTAACTACCAATTACTGGTTAGCATTTCTGGGAATACAATTATTTTCCATTTGGTAAAATCAATTATAAAAATCGAAATACCAGCAGTAGTAGTGTAATTGTATTTTAAACATATGTAATTAACAAATTTCAGTTATGGGTAAATACGTTTTAAGCATTCATTTTTGTTATTTTTTAAATAAATTATTTCTCTGGAAAATCTATCACAAATAATAAGTTTCTATGGGATAATTAACTTTAATTTTCCTAATAATCATATCAAAATAAAAATAAAGAAACTTTACAACAAAATCGAAAATAAATTTTATTTAAATAAATATAAATAATAAATAAATCATGTTAATAATTCTTGATTTGAAACATCTTCTACATTTTCTTGTGTTCTGATTGTATCTGCAACAAAAAAATTTACATATGAACTAATTCTACATACCATTGGTCATGAAATAAATGGCGGATAATATGCAACCTACATTTTAATGCATTTTTTGCATTTTTTTGTGACTTCGTAAAATTTGTCTTTTTTAACACATTGGGGATTAATTTGCATCTTTACCTGAAATTTGCTCTCTAAGTCGTTTAAAGTCTATGCATTTTAAATTGAAAATATTTACCACACCCCCTGCGTAGACTTTATAGCCTACCCAAAAGACTCAGATAAGCTGAAAACAACAAAGTAATAATCAGGGAAATTTCTGCGAACACAGACACAGCAACCATCATGACTGAATGGGCGTGCATGATTTGGACGCTAAATTTAAAATTCGACAATGAAAAATAAAATTACCTGTTTCTGCATACATGATTTGGACGCTGGGTGTAATTGAAATGTAAATGGAAAGTCAGGTAATAAAATTCTAGAGATTAAGCTTGATAAGGTTTATTTGTCACTTTGAAATAAATACGACATACATTTTACGAAATGGAATCGATCGATACAGTTAGTTTGATACTCATGTATCCTATTTCTAACGAACATAATTTTTTTTCTACTCTTTGGATCTTTAAGTCTATTACTTTCACTATTACAGACACTATTAATTTTAATGTAAGTTTCAGTTTGAAAATTTTTTAAAACATCAATAAAATGGAAAATATTTGGATGAGCATGGTAAAAATTATCATTAAAACGCGAGTGGAACGATTCACAAGCATTAGTTGTTAATTGTAAACTCTCACTCATCGCAGCCCACATCTCCGACGGAAATGTTGCGTGGTCGCCAATGTAGTTGTCCAATAAGTAGTCGGAAAACTTTTCAATTTTTGAATCCTTTGGTTGAATAGCCATAAAATCATATATGAAAGATTCTTCGACTTCTGAGGGAGGTAAAAATGGCAGCCCAAAAATATATTTCAGCCATTTAGATATTTCACTGTCTGCCAATTTATATTCCCGAATTAAGCCACAACCACCGATATTACGATACCAAGCTTGCATAAGATGAAAACGGCACCCTTTAATGTGCACATTTGGAAATTCAAAACGCGCAGCATTGTGGATAGCAATTTCAAAATCGGAGAAAATGATTTTTGGATTGAATTTTAGACCAATTACTTCACATTTGCGTTTCAAAACATTAAATAGTTTTATATAGGTTTGTTCCGATTTGTCGGGAAGTAAACAATAACACAATGGTATATAATGTCCATTGATAAATACATGTATGGTAAAAAATTGCTTGAAATATTGAGCACAGTAACTAAATGTACCGTCCATATAAATCGTTTCACTGCCGCACAGAAAACGCATGTTAGTGTTACACGAGAAGATGATAATGTTAGAACTTAGTTCAACCGCAAATATAAAATTCTCGTCTTTAAGTGTTTTGATATTCATAATATTTACCGCAGCAATAGTTTCTTCTTTACTTTTGGGCAGTTTCGGTTGAGCCATTCGCCGTTCACTGTATATTTGATTTCGTATTAAATTAACGTCTTTAACAGACATGTGGCTCAAGCAATCTACATTTTCTTTCAACGCACTATGTATGATTTTGGACGGCCTTTCGGTCAAATTATCCTTAGCCTTCCTTTTGGCACTGCTACGCACAATCTGTCTATTAAGCGTCTTGATATCACACTCGTGATTATGTTCTAGATTACTTCGGATCACTAACTTTTCTGGCCCTTTCGTGAATATCTTCGCTTTACACGACCGTTTTACGCACCTCCAATACGTTTCTCCCGATTTTAGTACTTTATCTTGAGAAAAAGTAAAACTGTTCACTTTGAGCAAAATTTTACCACGATTACTTACTAACGTTGAAATTTCCATGTTCACTTTTCACTATTCTCTGACAAACTAATAACTAGTAACTAAGTAAATTTCAATGACCATCATTAAACCCTAATTATATCTAATATCTGGTACCTGCGATAATCCTTCCGGCAGCGTCCAAAACAAGGGTACTTTTAAGACCCTCAGGTACTTCAGCGTCGAAAACATGCCCGCCCGACTGAATTAGCCAGCAAGGGGGTTGAAGCTACTAAAGTAATCAACATGATTTCCAGAAGGAAGGATAAAAAACCACTTGCTCTGTTCACGGTAACTATCAAAGAAGAAGAAGACATAAAAATTAAAAACATTTCTGTGCTACATGAGAATTCACGTAGAACACGAAATATTAATCAAAAACGAAAAAATCCAATGCTACAATTGCCAGGGATTTTATCACAGCTCTAAAGCCTGTCATTGTGGTACGAAATGCGTCTAGTGCGGAGAAAGCCACATTAGCAGCAACTGCGCCAACGACAAAGAAACAGAATTAAAATGTGTATGCTGCGAAGGCACATACAGCCATTTACATGCTAATAGGATGCTCAAAGGCACCTAAAAAGAAAACTGACTCAAAAGAACAACCAAAGGGCAGGCCGATAAACAGCAACGCCACCAACAAAGGTGTTAGCTACGCGCAGGCCACCAAAAACCAGTTAAAAATCCCACAGTCGCAAACGAAGACGCGGCATTAACAGCGAGCTTCAACTCTGACTTTAATGCAAAGGTGACCCAATTCTCCATGATGCTGGAGAAGATGACACAATTGATGGCAGCAATAAGTAGCATTGGATAGATATGCTAGAACACCAATCGGAGGATCTTCGTATTAGGTCTTGGAACTCAGGTGTACTATATCAAAAATCAACCCTCTGGATAAATTTTTCAATAGACTGGAACTAGATATCATAGCACTACAAGAATCCAAACTATTGGAGAGAAAAAAAAACAAAATTTCCAGGATATAATATCTATAGAACAGACCACAACTCAGGGGGTATAGTCATCATGATCAGAAAAGGAATCAAACACTAAGCCATCCCCACTACTGATGGCTTGGTCACAATAGAAGCCACGATAGTCCGTCTTACCACAGAAGACGAGACACTTAAAATTGTCTCAGCGTACATAACGCCTAAAGACCCAATCGTCGACGAAGATCTGAGCCTTATAGGCTATAGTAAGGCGATGACATGTCTTCTTGCGTCATACCTAGCTAACAGAAGTTTCAGAGTTCGGGCCAACCCTATCTAAGCTAGGAGCCCTGGAAGCTGGTGTGCATCAGCGAACGGTACTATAGCCGTATTTATACACCATATACACAGCTGATACTCCAACAGACCCCAGAACATTGGTTAGTCTGTACGCGGACGACAAAACCATAACAGCTTGCAGTATTATCCTAATCCAGCTTTCGGTGAACAGACGGCCGAAACAACAATTAACTAGATATAGGCAAAAATAATAAAAATAAAAAAATGATATAGTAACCGAGTAGTGAAATCGACGTAGTTTAGACAGTGAGCATCAAAAAAAGTGGAACAGAACTGCTGCAGCCAATCAAGAGATGGTTGGTTGGATGAGTTTGGATGACTGCAGTAGTTCGGTCACAGTCTGGCGCGACCAAAACGAAAGTATATAAGACCCATATACACCGGGATGGGTAAGGGTAATACCCATATGCATATGCAAGGTAAACACCGAATGTCATATGCTGTTTTGTCCAAAATTTAAAAAACCCAATTAAAATATATAATATGCCTGTCAGGACTTTCATATCAGCCGTCAGGCATAGTCCCCTCAGGCAGATCGAATGTTGATAATATCGCGAATTCCGAGGACCGAGGTCATGTGCGGCATACATGGGCTCGGTGGCCGGACCCTATCGGATGCACTACCGTTTTCGGCAGAGAGTCATCAGCCCAGGCTGGTGGCTCTTTGTTCGGAACACATACCTTTTCTATTTAGGGACACCAGTCCCGATGTCAAGTCAGAGTAACTTCTATAGAGTCAGTACAGTAAATAAGGAGAAAAGCCGATATGTGTGCTACTCCTACAGTTAGGTGGCTTAACCACAGTCAACAAAAACAGAGGTTGTCCAATTACCCAGGGCACCCAAAGTAGTTTTCAGGGGAAGTTTCAGGGGGTCAGATAGCTACCAGTTCAAAAACAAAGTGTGACCGGTTTGTTCTTCGGACATATGGATCTCACTTTATATTGATATACACATGTTCCTTAGGAACAAAGTTGATCACATGTGTGTGTTGAAAATATATACGATATTTCTTCCTAGAGGAACTACAAAAGTATTCCTATTTATCTTTATCAATATTGTATGTGATTTTTGTTTAAAAATAGATCTATTCTTCTCAACAAATTTTCTATCGTAAATCCCTCAATATATGACCGTTTTTAATAATAACACAATTAACATTTTTAATAATATTTTTCAATAAAGAATGCATAGACTTTATCTATAATTTCATTCTTAGTAATTCTTCGAAATATCTACAATCTGATATCTGTATTAAAAGTTGTGAACCCTTTAGTACCAGCAGTAAAGTTAAGGTACTTAGTTTTTCTAATAAAGAATAAACTAAAAACAGTAAAATTTTACATAAAATCTCAAATAAAAATTTTGAACTTTGACTATAAACCTTTTAGAAGACCTTGAGATATCCAAAGAAATGAAATCCAACCCAGATTGCTGCTTATTCACACAAATCAATCTCAATTGCAATTATAAACCTCTTTTTAAACTATTGTGGAAGACTTTAGTAGAGAGCATCTTTCCTGATATCTGTCGATAGTACGACGTAATACTGTTGAATTTTCGATATTCAGGTGCATATTTTATCTTCCTTATAGAGATAGTTTACGATACGAATCTGTACTACCTATTACTATTATTACGATTTTATTACCTCTAGTTTCAGAGTTACCAAATTTTCCAAACTACATTACAAGAAAATAAAAATACATACCTTTTGAGACAATACTGTCCCAGGACTGAACTTTACCAGATCCAAAAATTGCAAAAATAACTCCTGCTACAACATTTATAACTGCCGCCGTGTAAAAAACAATCTTCCATTGACTAGGATCTTCCTAAAAATGGTATTAAACTGTAAGTATCAAATATAGCACTTAAATTGTTTTTCAAATATTTAAAAGTATATTTTATAAAACAAATTACGTTAAAATTGGTAATACGCCAGTGGTCAGAGACGAAAATTCTACTCAACCTCTAAAAGCATACCAACAAGCTAAATTTTGTCGAGAATACCAATTTTAGGAAATTAAAAAACAAAAAAGTTTACCACTATTACCCTCGGGCTTCTCCTTAACTTCACCTGAACCTCTCGTAGGAGAGAAACAGAAAAAATCGATTTATCAAGAAACTTACGCTTTAGAACAAAATATTTCAAATAAAAAACGTAGCAAATAATGTAGTAAGAGATAATTTAATATATATATATATATATATATATATATATATAATATATATATATATATATATATATATATATATATATATATATATATATATATATATATATATATATATATATATATATAAGAGTAAGAAAAAAGTAGTACTACTACTACTAGTACTACTACTACTACCAGTAGTAGTGAAGTGACTAGTGAGGGTAGTAGTGTAGAGAGTAGTAGTGTCTGGGGACTCGGAAGACTGAGACCTCGGAAGCCCTGAATAAGACATCAGAGAGAATGTCGAAAGTTCGGCCCAATGGATATCGACGCGGTTTAACCCGGAAGACTGACGAGGAAAACAAGTTGTTCATCTGTAAACCAATTATCTGCCGTTCCATATGTTCCATTTGTATGTTCCATAAAAAGTTATGCTTTTCAGCATATATTTAGAGGCTGTAAACATAAAAAGTAACTGCATCACATAACAAAAATTTTTACTCCGTATTTGGATGGCTTTGAGGGCTTATATTTTTTGCAACGTCCCCTAAAAGCCTCCAGTTTTTCGTCAATATTCACACACTGTCCTAGTGAATAGCTATGTTTACAATTATGAAGAAAATTGTCGAAAAGTTTACGAATCTGCGCAATGTTTTCAATAGCTTTCCTTTGCCGGTCTTGTGATGCGGTCATCGAAACGCAGAAATCTCATAAGAAACTTAAACCTTATGAGACTCATAACCAGTCGAAAGATTTCCACGCCGTGTCCGTCTGTACCCCAGAGATCCTCTAACATCCTTTTGTTGGCGTGGAAAGTTCCTGCTAGATATAAAAGGCCTGTGACCTTTAGACGCCTTGATGTCCGTGTCAGTTGCATGACGTTGTTGGACTCTTTATGTAACTTAGCTAGTCGTGCTTCATGTATTGCTCCTGGGAGACGTGTAACCAGGTTATGTGGCTCAGTGCGTCTCTTCTTCAAACGCGGTTTAGTCATCTATCTAGTGTTTTAGCAAAATAAATTGTCGTGTAAATCTGGTTCTTCCTCTGTTCCACTCTCTTTACTATTAGTCACCAACTCTTTCATCCGTTGGCTGATCTTCCGCATCTGTATCCTCAAAATTTTCCACTTGGTTAGGGACATCTTCATTTTCGTCCTCTTTTATCATAAATTTTTACACTCTACATCATTCTAATTATTAAGGTTGTTAATCCGCTTTGCAGCCATTATACTGAAAATAGAAATATAAAATAACTCTCAACTATAAAAAGTAGGCCGAAAATAGCCTAAAATACGACCAAAGTAAAACAACACATTATGTTGCAATGTAACAATATGATACAATACGATTGTATGTTAACACACTCAATCACTATAAGTGGTTCATAATTTGTCGATAGCTCACTGACGGTTTAAGATGTTTTCGACTAACCCACCTTGTATCTGAAGGAATATAATACAGCAGCCAACCATATAATCCGATTACGAAGGTATTTTGGTTACAGATGACCGACCAGTGTCGAAGAGCATATGACTGAAACATTTATTTGAACTAAATAAATATATTTTTTAAATTGTACTTATGTAAATTGTATTTTTGTTTTAATAAAACTTCTTTATGTTATTCAAAAATAAAATGTTTCTTGTCATTTGTAAAAGATACATTTATTTAATTAAGAGGAAATGCGCCAAATGTTGCATGGAAAAATTTTCAATGTGTTTTAAATGTATCCTATATTTTCGAATCCGGAGAAAACTAATAAATAATTTTTTTTGAAAAATTTAAACGCAGAATGAAAGATTACATTATTACTGAGGACAAAAAGTCCCTGAAAACTGCCACAATGTTTATTTTAATATCTTATGTAACAGGGGTGAAAATAAAAGAGAAAATATAGTATAATTTTTAATTGAAAATATTGCATGCAAAAGAAACTTTATTATTCTAATAAATATTTCATTCTGCCTTTTTTTTAAATGCTTTTACGTTTTCTCAGGATTTGAAAAAAAAATGGATACATTTAAAACACACAGAACATTTTGACAGGCGACATTTTGCACCTTTTCCCTTTAATACCTTACGATTACAACTACTATTACTTACCTTATATAATTACGATTAGAAAACTATTCAAATTCAAAATAAATAGGATCAAATTCGGAATCCGAGTGGTCGAGTTTTTTTTTTGTCTCCTCCTCCTCAATCCTTTAGCCCTTGTCAGGGCGTAGTCACACCCTAAATATTGTTAGTCTGCTGTCTCCATTGACTGGGATCTTGTGCCATATGCACAGCTTCATGTAGGGTTTTTTTGTGTAATATGTAAAATCCCAGTTTTTTTCTGTACTATGTTGTAAAGTCTCGTATAACAATTCACGCACAGCTTGTATTTTATATGACGTAATTTTTCTAACCACATAACTTTTCATTTGTGCCCAAATGAGTTCAATTGGATTTATTTCGCAGTGGTAGGGTGGAAGTCTAAGGACTGAGATGTTTCGCCTTTCCGCCATTTTGTCAATTACGTATTTCTTGAACTTAGATTTGTGTTGCAGGGCAATTTTTAAAAGTTCTTCTTTTACCATTCCATCTTCGTAAGGCAGATACTTATTCAGCAGCCAGTCAAGAATATCCTGTTTCTTCCACGCAGTCGTTGGAAGTCTTTCTACTAGTCGTGAATGATAAGGTGCATTATATAATACTATAATTGAATTTGGTGGTATGGGTTCGTTCAATCATCTGCTCAAAATACTCTTCGAAAACATCAGCTGTCATATCCTCGTGATAGTCTTTTGTGCTTTTGGACTGAAACTCCAACAAACCATGCTTAACAAATCTTTTTCACTGCTGATGTGAGAAATTATTAATCTACTGCCTTTACCAGAAGGTGGGGGAGATACCAGTAGACCAACCTTCCATAAAGGCTTGCCTGGAGCTTAATATATTTTTATCTGACCCAATTTTTTCACCCACTTTTTTTGACCTGAGTTTACCCACGTTTCATCCTGGTAGAAAATTGGCCTTCCGTCAGCCCGGAATTTTCGTATGGATCTTAGATAATTTCTTCTCCAACATATTATCTCCTCCCGGTCAATCAAAAGTGATTTTCGGTCTGATTTCTCCCACCGGAAATTTAATTCTTTTAAAACTTGCCACAATTTAGTTCGTCCGATATGAGGCAAATCCGAGTCGTCTCTAACTTCTTGTAAAATTTTGTTTAGGTTTGGTATTTCTTTTTTGAAAAAAAAAAATCCATGAATTTTCCTTCGAATACCATTTTTGGCAAAATCATTAATTTCAATAGGCTTTTTCGCTCTCTTTAAGTGTTCGTTTGTGTTTGGGTTAGCTATACCGTGTTTTTTTCTTTCTTATAGGAACCTATATATAGTTAACTCTCCTACGCCAGTCATGTTGGCACAACTTTCGACTATGTTGCGAACAGTGTTTGTGGGATTCTCAGAAACCAGAGCATCGGGAACATTCAGGACAATAGTCTTCTCTCTTAGTGAATAGACAGACTTACTGACTGTACGCAACAGTACCGCTGTAAAACTTGATGATGTTGATCATAAAGCCATCACAAATAATCCAACAAAACAAGCACGAGCGAAAGGTACGTATATGTTCGTAGGTATATGGAATAAAACGTCACTTACGCACTGCATATAATTCGCAAAAGAACGAGCTAATATTCGAGACGCTAAATTACATGCGATTAAAAAGGTACTGAACAAACAAATTGTTTTCGTTCGTAATAACTTCATCCTTTCAAGTTAAGTTTCGATTATAAACTGAACAGACGAGGCACGTGGCCAAAGCCGGCATCTTTATACCTTATATTATATATACATTATATTATTAAAAATCTGGGGAATTCCATCCCAATTATCTTGCAACGAATAGTACCTTCGGATATCTATTCCAGGTTTTCTAGTAAAGTGATTAAACGTGAAGATTAGTATTGAAATATTAAAAAAAAAGGTATTCTTATTTACAAAACTGTTAATGGTTAAATTCTTATTTTTATTAGTTTAATATAATAACCAATATTAGCCGTGAAAGTTTTAATTGTTTTTATCTAAATATTTTTTACCTTTTTATGACTTTGAGGCACATTTCTTGCCCTCAACAATTTGTGAACGGATAATAGTACGTTACAAATACGACTGAAAGTTCTAGGTCTAGATTAAACTGGTCTAGGAAGGTACTACGAAGGTGGGTTCTCCTTACTTTAGGGTTCAATAATAGCATTGAAAATTGGCGAGCTTGTATTATTTTGATACACATGCGACCGACGGACGGTTAGTACAAAATTGTGCTGTATCCAAAACCAAAAAAGTAGATAATGAATTTTTGCAAATCTATATTAAAATTTCGTGCTTTAATTGCTTAAAATTTACTAGTTGATAGATCTTAGATTGAAAATAATATATTTTGGAAGTGGTACACTTTCATTTTGAGGTACAAATTTAAAAAAAGTTGTGGCGCAACTCCATAATATTGTGACATGCATTAAAATACATGCAAACAATTACTTATGCAATGTGATGTATGATTCCTATATTGGACAGTATAAACCAATAGAAAGACAGCAATAAATAAGTGATATGCAGTTAATTATATTGTTGTCTAATGTTATATTATTAAAAGATTTATTTTCCTTGTATAGTTTTAAGCTTG